TACGATTATTCCCGAACACGTAATTCTGTTTCTCCAGAATCAATGCATGAGATGTAGATGAGCAGGATATTAAAGAGTTACTGCAGGTTTCTGGTGAGAACCTTACCAACTACTATCTTCAAGAACTGGCAGAACAAGGAATTTAAGAACGCGAATATACTGATTCTGAAGATGATTTACCAAAAGAACTTGATACAGATTTTCTTAGAAAAAGTTTAGAACCGAAATCGATGATCAAATTATAGCGAATTTTGTCAGTAATGCAAAAGCAAGAAGAGGAGACAAGAAAGCGACAAATTACTCTAACTGCACATTTACTGATGAAATTGAGAGTTAAAACATCACATTTTTTTCAGTATAGACATCTTTCTATTCCATCTAGTTTGGCACTCAATAATATGACTTAACTCCATCTCGATTTTCCGTTTTTTTCATGAAACTAAGGATTTAAAATTTAAATATTTTATGCCAGAGACAATTTTATGTCAAAATGTTTATGTTTTTAATGATATAATTAAAATCATTAATTCATTTTTATATTTATATTTTAAAACTAAACTTTAAAGCCGGTGTTTAAGTTGGAATAATATTGTTTAATAGCAACCATTGTTGTGAGCCGCACTTTTCCATCAAAAGAGCCGCATGCAGCCGCAGTTGCTAATTATATAAATATAACATAACTATTACAAATTTTTTTGCTCTAAGTAAGTAATTTTCTAAATTTATTTGTTTCTCGTTTGCACTCAATTGATTTTTCGCAATACTCAAAGAAATTTTTATAGGTTTTCCGCGTACTTCAGTATGTTTGCTCTTGAAATTTGTGATCGAATGTTGATGGCTCCTTACGCCCACGGAATACTGTTTCAACGCGTTTCAACTACAATTTCTTTACTGCTTTCTATTTTACTGTTCATATTTTATTAGTAATAAAACTCAGTTTCATAAATGACTATGAACATAAATTAAATCAATGTGAAATTAATATTTTTGATTTACAGAAATATTTTATTATTCTCTAATGAGTACTATAATAGAATGTTAATATTTCCTTCCTAATATATAAGGTTGTTCTGAATGTATTTACGTATGTTCGTTGTTTTATCTAAATGTTGTGTGAAGTGTATGGAGAAGATGTTTTAACACGAGATCGCTATGATCGCCATTTTTTGGTGAAAAAAAATGCCATAAAAAGAGCCACATTTAACTCCGGAGCCGCAGGTTGTGTTAATAGAACACCAATGTCACAACTGGTTTGCAAAATTTCGTGCTGACGTTGCACGATTTCGAAAGCTAGTTTAATCTGATGAAGAAAAAGTAAAGGTATTGGTTGAAACTGAATAACAATACGAGAAATTGATAAAACATTTAATTTCTCGTATTTTTCATGTGGTTTTGTTTTAAGATCAATAGATATTTAGATTAAAAAACTAAATTATTTTCTAAACAATCCAATAACAGAAACAAATAACATTTACAATGCGGAATAACCCTAAATTTGAAAGCCGGTATAGAATATTCAAATATAAAAAAATTATTTACGTATTTTCTCAAATGTAATTATGAAAAGAAAATTATTAATTGAAATAATAATATGAAAGAAAAACAAATAAAAAATGGTTAAAAATAAATTTCTGGTGAAACTGAGATCGTACACTCGCTCGCTTATACATCAGAGCTCATTCGGTCGTTCATAAACAGGATGATCGGGCGACATAAAACGTCACGAAGTGCACTAATGGATTCAGAATGCATGGAATAAACATTAATGGAAGAAGGGCGGATGTAGACAATGGGGATGCATTAAAAAGCTGGTGTGGGAGCAAGAGAGACATACGGACAGACGGAGGGAATTAATATTTGCGAGTTGCGGTTCTAGTTCCATCGATTTTCATACACATTCACTGACATTGTCCACAAGGAATAGTATTTTGCACACTAGTTTTAAAACAATATTTTGAATATGCTAAATATGGTAATTTGTTAATAATTATTATTTTTTATTAAATTTGGAGAGGAATACATTATTTATTTTTATTACAGCTTAGCAAATTTATTAAGATTTTATGTAAATTAAACATTAAAATTAAATTAATTAGCGTATTTTGAATTTTATATCAATAAAGGTATTGACGTAGTTAGTATATTAGGTTATATCGGTTCCGACAACATTCAGCACAGTTTGAAACCGGATTAATCGAGATATTTAAAACCGCAAAAAAGACTTCATTGTATACAAGAAAAAGAAGATAAGTTAAGTTAAAAAAAATAATTTTGTGTACTTAGTTTATATAATTTATTTTTATTTTGACCAATTAAAATTTTCTAAACGCACTATAGTGAATTGGTACTAATTAATTAAAATTGGTTATGTTTGATATAAGTATAAAACAAAATATTATTTATTTAGTATATTTTAAATAACTTATTTCTGAAAAATATTAATAAATTTCAATCATTAATAGGGAGTAATTCCAAACTAATTTATATTTATGTAATTATGCGTTAATTGTACAATAAAATAATTATCTATTCCAGGATATTACTGATTTGAATGTGCTAATTTAACTACAATCTTGAGAATAAAAAGAATAGTATAAGAATAGTGTCTATTAAAATAATTCTTGTGTTTTATTTATCGAATACTGTTTTCTCTGTACTTATGAAATGTTTGTACCGATTTTCCTACCGTTGGGAATACAGGTAACATTTCAACAGTTTTTAGAAAAGTTTAGCTTTGGAAAGAAGGAAGAAAGAAAGTGCATGATACTTTTCTATTACTGGAAAGTCCATATTGCTACTAAAACAATAACTAAGATATATTATGTTTGCGGTGAAGTTATTTTAGCTAAAATAACTGTGCGAAAGAAATTTGCTAAGTTCAGAAGTGATATTTCAGCTTTAAAAGTCTGTTAATAATAATGAAGCAATCAAATGTTACAACACGTAAATTATCAGATATATTAAAAATATAGAATAGTGAGGCATTCGGGGTTCTTTATGAGCAATTGCTGCATAATAGAATTCCCATGCCCACGTCCATACGGTGTCTCGTCCAATCCGAGGACGTTGGAATCTACAGAGCAGTTCTAAAGTTTTTTTAAAACATCTAATGCCTCTATATGATTTTAACGTGTTAACCTTTCTAATTTATACCCGAGGTCTCTCCAAGAACCTGAGTACTGAACCGAAATTCGTTATATATTTATGTTATTTTTTAGTTGCGTTAGAAGAAGTTCTTTATTTTGATTATTTGTGTTGAAGAAGGAAGTTTTGGTTTATTGGTTGAAGCTGTTTTTTTTATTATTTGGGCGGAAGAATAAGTTATTTTGGTTTTTGTGTTTTGAATGTACAGACAGTGGCTGGATTATTGGCGCGTAATGCGGAAGAAGGGGGAAGGAAAAAGAAGAAGAAACTATAGAGAACAAAAATGATTGGAGTGGACTGAGTTGAATTATTCCACACGCACTATTCACTTATTCGCAAAATTCCATTAACTGCAAGAACGTCTAATAAAGTTTTTTAACGAAAACCTTCTGAATTCTGATTGAAAGATGTATAGATTAAATTTTTATTTCAATATATAAAAGTTTAGAATTTTCGTGAAAAAACGAACTTTACTGGCAACCAAATATTTATATATATATATTTTTTATGTCGTGTAATTTTATTCGCAATCTCTTCATGAATGTGAACGTTGTGTATATTTAAGATCGCGGTTGACATTAGGTAGGTAATCTTTCCCGGTGGATAGTTACCATTATGATGATTTTTTAAAATTTTTAATTTGTAGGTTGGCTGTCGGCTTGTAGGTTAAATTCAGTAGCATATTGATGCTCTGTGATTCCACTATTTCCTTTTACTGTGAATCAGCTTCTATCCTTAACATTATCCATTGACTTGGCTGAAAGTCCATATGCTGAACCTCATTCATTTCACTGTCCATCTGTGATGAACAGGGCCATTGTTGCAAGCACCGAGAGGGCTCACAAAGGGCCTGACTTAACCATTCGGCTATTAGTAGCCCTATTTATATAATCGTATAATTACTGTAATAAATATAATTTATACTATTATGTTCTGCAAATAATAACTAATTAAGAAAATTAATAAATTAAATATTTAATTTTATTGTTAATGCAGATTTATTATTTGTTATTTAACAATAATAAACAAAATAAACTGTATTTATAGAATATATCTCTGGATACATAATACATATTTTTAAGCCTGCTTCGTTAATGATTATAATTATGAGCGTACGAGCGGCGAGGTTGAGTAATCCGGTAGATTCGTGCGCATTATGTAATCTGTATCATTATATATTCGAAGAGATTTGTATTTTTAGCTAGTCAACAAAAGGTTTATTAAAATTAATTGCAGTTTCGAAATTAAAATTAATTTACGAGGTTCGTCGACACCATGATTTATACCAAACGAATTCGAACATCCGCTACAAGTAAGCCGTCCAACAATTAATTTCAACAACGCAATAATTGGGCATTTTAGGTTAATGAATCGACGTTTTCATGGATCGGACAAAAACGTAATTAATTATCGCCGATAATGGCAAATCGATAATACAATAATACGTTTTTTTGTGGATGCGCCAGGTATAATAAATTTTCCACTCTCATTCACACATGTACATAAACGGAATTGATTCGGTTAGTCGGGTAATAATCATAGCATTGTGAAAGAGTGGAAATATCAATTTCCTTTCATTGCGAGAATCGTTAACGGGTTTATTGGGATTTGCCACGCGAACCGGACAGGCTTTTCGCATTAGGACTACAATCTTCCAAAAATCCATGATTCTTCAATTCCCCCCCTAAATAATAATTTCAACGTACTTGTTGCTGCTTTTTAATAATTCCAGAGGAAGGGCGAAGTCCTCTGGTTCTTAGCCTCGCGAGGACGAGTGCAGACCAAACTTGAACGCGAGCGCATGACTCCTAGGTTAGAAGTGCGCGGCTGCTTTCCATTCAGTCGTCCAACGGAAACCACGGCTGGAAAATCCTCCGGAAAATAGACGCGTCTCGCTACATGGAAATGTTGACTTAGAACTTTTTTCAAAAAAAAAAAAGTTAGTGAAACTAGTGGGAAAGTTAATTGGAAGAAGCGTCAGGTAAACATTTTTTTATTTACAGCAACAAAACAATCTAAAACAATTTAAATGTAATTGATATTTTTTGTTATTTCAAAATCGAATCGTTTCAGAAGAAATAGTCTGAGCGCTGCACCTAAGTGCATTTCGTTGTTTTTTTTTTCCTAAATCGACATCGCAGCTTGATACAATTTATGTTATTTTTATGGTCTCCGACTTATCCAACTTTATTTCCGGTCCACGTCCACGTTTAATGACTGTGCTTTATTATTCAATAATGTGTAATAGATTTATGATATACTTATACTGATTACTATATTTCTTCCAAATTATTATCATGTGTTTATCAACTTTTAATGAAGGAATGCTTTATTTATAATTGTTATTGTAATAAACCATACAAAATAAAATACTGACTAATAAAAAAAAGATAATTTTGATATTATTATACTGCTTACTACATAAATTGTTTTAATGTGTTTACTAGATTGTTACAAATGATTACACAAATAATTTAACTAAAATTGGTATTAATTCAAAATATACATAATAAAATATTGATTTTAATTGATAATAATAAATTATTAAAACTGATAAAAAATATATTTCTGATATAATTATACTACTTACTATATTATTTTGAAATTGTTATCATGTATTTACTAGATTGAATTGATACGAATAATTGAATACATAATTTATTTAAATTTGTTATTTATACATAACATACATAATAAAATATTGATTTTAATTGAAAATTATAACAAAATAAATTATTAATGATAATAAAATATTTATTAATGAATATCATATGAATAATAATAAAGTTTTGAAATTATTTTATCAAATTAATTAGAAAAATTACAATATTAGGATGAAAATCTGTGGTCATTAGCCATTGTAGTACCTAAGATTTATTTATAAAAAAAAACATCCATCTTTTATACAATTTTTCAACCTTACATCGACATGATTAATCGTTTGCTATAAACTAGAATGTAATGCAATTAAATCTTGAATAGGAAACTTAAAATAGGTTCAGTAAACTAATTTCTCTTTAACTCTTTCATAATAATTTGATCCTTTCGAAAAAAATAATTAAAATCACTGCTTTTTTATGTTCGTTTGTTTTTGAATTGAATTTAAGTAAATAAACACTTTTTCTTATATATTTTAATTATTTACTTTGTAATTATATCATTTAATTAATAATTGCACAAGCATTTATTTAGTATGTTTTATGAAACTTGTTTGAGTTTATTTCATAAAAAAAATGATGTTATTTTGAGTAAGATGAAAATCTCTTTGTCAATTGCTTTGCAGTTTGGTTTTTGGTTATTCTGGAAATTCTCTATATACCTGAGCATTGTAACTTCTTGCAGATGTACGTTCTATAATACCCTTGAGAGTTATAGTTTCAAGCACATATACCAAATTTATGGCGACATTCATCACATTCAAAGAACTTCTTATTCACAAGTACTAAGAGTTTTGGTATAACGGTAGAACTCTAAGAAACTTTAGAATCTTAACTCTATTAATACCACAAATGTGAATTAATTATTTGTTTAATGTGTTGACAATAAATAATAACAAAAATAACAATTTTATATACATTTATTGGATTTTGAATTTTTATGTGTATATTTTTTTAAATGCTATTATTAAGTTTATTAATATATTGAATATGGAAATACCGACTGAAAACACATAATAAAAACAAAGCTTTGGCAAATGCACACCATTAATCCTTGCATATTTCCATATATAAAATTTATTTTAATATGCGCAAATAAGTATTGATTTATGTGCGGCGTTTCATTTTCATTGCGTTTTATTAAGTTATTATTATTTTTTTTATATAAATTTGCAATTCTCTCATTTATTTCGCACGTATTTGATATAGGAAATCATTTACTGATATTGAAAGTAGGTTGAGGTTTATTTCTGGTAATCTCGAGGCTCATAATTCACATGTTACATGCCCTAATATCATGCAGATTACTCACATTATTTTATATTCTGTTATAAATAAACCTTTAATTCATTTGTTTTTTTTCTAGATGTAAATCATATTTTAATATAGAGTAGAGATATTAACCAGTTTTCTTGGATTTTAGGTTTTGTTCCTGGGAAATTTAAAATTAATGTATATCATTTATATACACATATATCTAAGCAATTTTGATTTATGATTTAATATAGTGTGTATAAGTAAACTTAGTATTATTTGTTTGTATTCAAAGAATAAACTTTTAACAATTATATATTTTCAAATTATATTTATATATATTTATCATAATTAGTGAAAATTTTATGATGCAACTTTGAAATAAATGGTACAAGGTCAGAGCTATATGTGAGATGCGACATCACTTACCTAATGCACGCACGAGAGTGAATATAGTGCCTTAGCTCACTAACAGCTGGGTAGGGTTTGTATTTTAAAAATAAATACAAAATCTCGTGAATTTGACGTGGTTATTTCACAGCGCTCTTTTGCCCTATATGCTTTTGTTAATGCGCGTTTTTGTCAGCGCGCTTTTGTCTTGTGACCTTTTGTTACGGCGCCGAAATTATCATAACTAATCATTGACTTCATTGACTGAAGCCCTTCAAAACTAACATAAACTATCTATTTGTTAAAACAGGAATTACTTTCTTGTTAACCCAATACATTTGGAAAGTATTAATATTAGATAATATATGCTGTAAGTGTAAGGAGTTTTAAAAATTATCGATTCTTTGTAAAGGAAGTAGTGTATTCCATTAATAGAAATAAAGCTTTCTTTATATATTGCTTTTTTATAGTTTTTCTTTGTTTCATTAAGAGACATTCATATTTATTGCGTAGCCATAAAAATAGCTCCAGTTCTAAATTTTTATTACAAAACAATAAAATATTAATAATATAATAATATTGATTGCAACAAACACAATACAAACTTAACAAAATAACATAATAAGAGAAATACCAATTACTGTTTAATTAATTTACACTATTTCATTATGCAATTTTCCTAATTGAATAATAACTTTACTGTATTATCTAATAGAGTTATGCAATTAGTCTTCATTAAAATGAGATTTCGCTTCGTGAAGCATACGATTTCCATCTTCTGTAACGCAGAAATAACGATTCAAACCTATATAAATCCATTAAAAAAAAAGAGTAAAAGACTGACAAAGATTTAGCGCCGTTACCCTTTCCCTTTTGGTATGCACATTTGGTCGAGGGCTTTAAACCCGAACCCGTAACATCGTTCAAATTTATCGAGAGATTTACGTACGTCCCCACTTGAATTATTATCACCATCCGTCGTTGTAATTTCCGAACGAAACAATAAAAACCAATCACCGTTGATTCCATTAAGTTTATTCGAAAACGTCAGATTTCAATAATTTTAGTTCCATTTGTTCAAGTGTGATAACTTTATATAATAGAAGCGTCATGTCGTAATACATAATCGATGATCAATAAAAGTTTCAATTGTCTATGATGAAACAGGAAAAGAAGCGTGAATAAAAAAAATATAAGCTGAGAAGTTGAACAAAACTCTTAAGAAATTCCGTAATGTTCGTAAAGCTGCACGGAAGAATGAATAATATGTTTGGAAATGCGATATTGATTCTGATTAATATGCTTCATTGGAACTCTGTTGAAGAGAGGTGCAGTTGTAAGCTTTGAAGAAGATTTATTAATTCTGCTGAAATGTGCTTGTACTTATAATTTTATAAAATATGTAGTTTCTTGTAACAAAATTTCATATTTCTTTAAACTTTTATATAGAAAGAATAAGAAATATGTTGATTGATCCGCCAATTTTTTTTTGGACCGGACGTGCAGTGATCGAGTTTCATATTCAGATCGCAAATCCTAAGCTCGGACGAATTTTCAGGATCTGAAAGCAAGCGTCCTCATTCTCAACGCCGGATGGGAATTAGTGGATAAAAGAAGGATTATGTGTTATACGTATTTAGCGACTACCTATTAAAAAGGCGTATATATTGCGTAATCTCACTCTTTTTGGTGGAAGTGGAGATTCAATTCAGGCGCATTTGCAATGTGATGATTAAGTCATGGGTTACTACTGCCTGCGGGTTATTATGCAATGAAGACAGACGTGTCTAATCAGCGCTGAGGTCGATATCAATCAATGTATCTGGTGACATGCACTTCGAGATGCAGGATTGCAGGAGGAAACGGGTCGAGGAATCCGCTTCAGGTGAATGTTGCTATGCTATACATGAGGCCATGATTAAACCGCGGCGGGATTCCGTTTTGCATAAAGCAAATCCATCTACAACGGCAGATATTAAAGTAATTAAACCGTAGCATATCTAAGTCTGTTTGTGTAACGAGCAGTTTCGTACGGAAGCAATCAAAGCGCGAATACTGATACGAAGACGTTACCTTTAACTATTGATAATGAGGGACCTTTACATTGTGAATTTTGTAGTTCAATTTATTACTATATCTATATAATCAGATTGATTTAATATTCACAGTTTGTATATAATTATTGTATTTACATTATGAAAATCACTCAAAAATGCAATATTATATAAATAAAATATAAATAAATAATAAATTGTAACTGCGATTTGTATATAATATAACTTAATTAGCGTAAGTAGTTTTCCTCCATTAACTGCTTAGCGGAGATTACAAAATAAAATATGATTTGTTGTTATAAAATCTTAAATTCCTTAAACAATAATTAGATTTATATCTACATGGGGCGACTAATAGCCGAATGGTTAAATCGCCCTACCCACGATTTCGTGGGCGCCGGTTCGAATCCTGGTCAAGCCAGGTCCTTTGTGAGCGCTCTCGGTGCTTGCAGCAAAAGCCCCATCTTTCATCACAGAATTAACAATAGTTGAGTATAGTTGAATTGATTGTTTCTTGTCCCTTTGCACAGTCAAGTCTTTTTATGTATAGTTTCATCGGAGCCGCAGGAACCCTGGCTTGCATTGTCTCTCCTATGTTTTTTAGAACCCGTGAATTCGTACTAAAA